CCAGCACAGTCTATTGCTATTTCCCCCAAATATACAATATACATATTTATAAAAATACATTTGACATCTGTTTTGTGTCATTGGCTATGAGCTACTTGAGGGTAAGGACTTTATCTGTGTATCTCTGTAGCTTCTCACAGTCCCTTATAACATGCCAAATACGCAAAATGTTTCCAAAGTTGGTGAACTAAATGAATGAATGAATATTTATTATGAGAATTAAACATTATTCTTATGATCATTTATTATAAGAATTAAATATATACACATATATAGCTATTAATAGAATGCCTACCACAGGCGCCAGTAGTCCCAGCTATTCGGGAGGCTGAGGCAGGGAAATGCTTGAACCTGGGAGGCGGAGGTTGCAGTGAGCCGAGATCGCGCCACTGCACTCCAGCCTGGGCGACAGAGCGAGGCTCTGTCTCAAATGCCTACCACATAATGGGTGTTATAGAAGTATTTTCTATTATTATTCTCCTGCATAATTTCTGTCCATATTTCTTTCCATTTGGTTTTGCCATCCAAGCAGATTAAAGGAAAGAAATGTCACATTCCTGTGTAACACCTTATATAAGCATTTAATGAACTTGTCCATACATTCATCAAGAATTTGTGATTCCCACAGTCCAAATCTCTGTGAATTTTCTTTCTAGCCATGTGTGGCATAGCTCTCTCTCTCACTATACTCTAATACCCCACCCCTCTGTAGCATGGGTATATTTACTTTGTTTTTGTTTGTTTGTTTTTAGATGGAGTCTAAAACACAGCTCTGTTGCACAGCCTGGAGTGCAGTGGCGCGATCTCAGCTCACTGCAACCTCTGCCTTCTGGGTTCAAGTGACTCTCCTGCCTCAGCCTCCTAAGAAGCTGGGATTACAGGCACGTGTCACCACACCCAGCTAATTTTTGTATTTAGAGATGGGGTTTCGCCATGTTGGTCAGGCTGGTTTTGAACTCCTGACCTCAGGATCCACCCACCTCTTGCCTCCCAGAGTGCTGGGATTACAGGAATGAGCCACCGAGCCTGGCCTATTTCCTTTCTTTTCCCCACGAAGAATCCCCAATTCCTATTGCTTTTCTAGCCTTTTCAATGGGGTTTTCAACCTCTTAGGAATCTCAGAGGTTCTTTGCAATAACATTAATCTTTATTGCACAAGACTGCCACATTATTTTGCTTTGGATTTATCTTTGCAGATTCTGCCCCCATTTAAATAAATACAATGAAATGACACATTTCTACAGCTGAACAGTGAAGTTTGTTTTTCTTCTATGAGGCTGAACATTTATTGATGAATCCATATTGTACTGACAGCAACTTCTTCAATAATTTCATGGGTTATATAGCAGTTGGTAATAGTGCATGCACGTGGGCAGGGAGAACTATGCAAATATCAATAATAATTATGCTTGGTGTATGCAAATTCCAGCAGGTATTTTCAGAAATTAATCTTCCAAATTACTTTTGCACAATTCAGGAAAATTGAAATGTGCATTTAAATAATTGTAGAAAAAGGTAAAAGCAATCTCTACTCATTTAAATCACCCAGTTAAGGTGCTATTGTAAACAAAGGGATTGTAGATATTTCAGACACAGAAGCCGTACTGTCAAAACAGAATTATAGAGATCATGAGAGCTTTGCTTTATTTGTAGACAACTTACCAGGGATGGCATTGTTTGGATTAGTTTGTTTTGTTTAAAGCATTATTATTAATATTCCTCAAAAATCATTAGTAAAAAGAAGCAATATTGTTTTGCTTGTTTATATACTCACTTATATGTTTCATGCATCACTGTGTCCATTTATCAACCCATCTATCTATCAAATGAATGTTTATTAAGCATGATTATATGCCACAGACTGAGGTAAGTAAAGTTATGTGAGTAGGAAGACCTTTTGACTTGTGCCTCCAGCTCAATAGGGGAGCCACAAGTTTACATAGTTTAGCCATTTTGGGGTCTTTTCATTTCCTCCATGAGTTTAATATCAATTGTAACTTCATATGAAAGCTAGAATATGGGGCCATAATTAATGCATTTATATAAGCAAAGCACTTTCAGTGTCTTCTGCTTTCATGCAGTTTTAATTCATCAAATTATGGCCAGAGGCTTTAATTGCTGAAAGTAACCCTAGGCTTCTCTGACTTTCTTGAATACCTAACATGCATTTCTCAGGGAAAATACTGAACTCAGAGATAAAGGCTAGAAAGATATGCAATCCTTGCCCTTAAGAAGCTGACATCTCATAGGCATCTGGGACAAGGAGCATTCGCCTATTATTAATGGTTGTGACTAAAAGTACTGCTATCGGAGTCCACGGACATTTCGGGAACAAAAGGTCTCCTTCCAGGAGTGATCAGGACACTTTTGGGATGTCCTTGAGTTGTGCCTTGGGAATGCATTTTACAAAGGAAAATGGTGGAGACAGCTGTTGAAATAGGGAAGTCCAGGGTTTTGGACCTAGGTTCAGCAGCTATAGGACTGTGAAGTCTTAACAACTAGCCTCATCTGTAAAATAGGGATGAGGACACCAGCCTCATAAAGATCTCTGGGAGGATTTAGCTAATGTTTGCTAATGTGCTCATTAAATTATATGAAGCAGGGATTCCTAGGTAGAAGAGATGGTCCAGGGTAAAGGCACAGAAGGGAGGAAAAAAGACATATTAGGACCCTGGTGATAGCCAGTTTGTCTACTAGTTACGGTTCTTCTACTGCCTCTGCTTTTCTTTCTAGAAAACCACAGGCAGTAACCACAAATCTATTTGTCTGTTTTGCCAGGTTGAATTTGTGACTTGACTGTTTTAACTGTTTTATCTTTAAAAGGAATCAAGAAAACTCATTTTATGCTGCCCCAGGTGGTGGGAGGTAAGATGACAGATATAGTACCTGCAAGTAAGGCTTTTGTGTTCCTCTTCCAGTTGGTGCTCTCTATTCATTTAAGTGTTTCTTATCAGCTTCTGCCCAGAGAAAACCTTCTAACAAAAATACACATTTCCTTGCCTATATGTCACAAGTCAGCTGTTCCTTTAAAGGACATACCTATGATCTTGAACAATGGGTTCAAAATATATTATAAACCAGTATAATATTCTAGTTTTTTTTTTTTTTTTTTTCCCCGAGACACAGTCTTTCTCTGTCACCCAGGCTAGAGTGCAGTGGCTTGATTTTGGCTCACTGCAACCTCTGACTCCCAGGTTCAGGCGATTCTCTTGTCTGAACCTCCCGAGCAGGTGGGATTACAGGTGTGTGCCACCACGCCCAACTAATTGGTATTTTTAGTAGAGACAGGGTTTCACCATGTTGGCCAGGCCAGTCTCAAACTCCTGACCGCAAGTGATCCGCCTGCCTCTGCCTCCTAAAGTGCTAGGATTACAGGCATGAGTCACCACGCCAGGCCCTATTTTTCAAAATTTTTATTTTGTTGCTGTTGTTGTTGTTTGAGGGAAATACTGAAACTACAAATAAATTAGCAGTCATCACCAACTCATTTGATGAAAACCATTTATTCTAATTGTAACTGGTAACCTGCCTTTGTGCCCCAGATCAGACGATCCATTGTGTTTTCCTATGTTTTTGAGTGCTGCTTAGTTTTTCTTATTTTTTTTGTTTGTTTGTTTCCCATGGATCCACCTGTGATCCTACACATAGCATACTGATAACAGAAGGCAAACAGGTAGAATGGTAAAGAAAGAAGGTTGGGAGCAGAGAAAAATGGAACAGTGTCTTTCTTGTCTTTCACTTATTTATTTACCAATTACCGCTGAAACTGTGGTGGAAGCCATAAAGACAAAGTCTAAGAAGGTACCACTTGTATCTCTGAGGCACTTGGCAGTTGAGAGATAACAGTAATCGGACCATAACCGTGATGACCAGTACTTCAATGGAGGATATTCAGATGTTCCAGAAGCATATAGGTAGGAGTGACTAACTGGGCTGGGAGAGCTGGAGAGGCTTCACAGAGGAGGTGATATTAGACTGAATCATGAATGTAAAAAAGAGTCTGGATGAAGGACATTCCAGACAAGGGGAATTATTATCTCAATGATTAAAATCTATGTCAGAGAAATATTAGGCCATAGAAAGATATACAGCGCTAAGGGATTCAGAAGACAGAAATGTTACATTTCATAAAGAGATAAAGAGAGACACTTCAAGGAAGAAGTAATATTTTAAACGGGCCATGACATTTCAGAAGGGATAGATGGAGCTAAAGAGGGTCCTTGAGATGGAGGAAATAGTACGAACAATGACATGGAGGTAATAAGAGAGTTCAATGTGGGACTTACGGAACATGAAAGAGTCATGTATGCTTAGAGTGGAGGCTGGATGTAGTTAAGATGAGAAGGGTCAGGTGGGGTCAGATGGGGAGAGTTCCAGATGCTGATGTGAGGGCTCTGTACCTAGTACTATTATTTGGTAGGATTCACCAACACTTTATTTGGGAAACGATAGTCCATTCAGTTTAATTCCTCCAGTATTTTTGGAGACCTTCCTTGCTCTGAAACAGGTACTGTGATAGATTCTCGGGACACAAAATGAATCAGACATGATTCCTGACCTTTTGAATCTTTCATCAAAATATTTATCCATGTTTCTGTCTAAGTCAATGTCCATGTCGATGTTCACGTCCATGTCCATGTCTATGTCTAAGTCAATGTTTATGTCAATTTCTATGCCTATGTCTATATCTGCATCTGTCTGCATCTGTATCTAGATTTTTAGACAGAGATTAATTTGACTGTGGTGTGTAGGATGTGTGGAAGCAGGGGAAGAGGGGCGGGAGAGGTGAACGGGCAGCAGCCATCCACATGGAAAGGGCTGAACCAGTCCAGATGGGACGGCCTGAACAGGGGCAGTACAGCAGGAAGAGCACTGTCTTTGGAGTCTAAGGGATTTGAGCTTGAATCCAGGCTCTATCACAAACTCTCCTTGAGAGTTTATTCAAGTAATTTCCTCAGCCTGATTCTCTTCACCTGTAAAACAGGGAAAATAACACTTACCTTTGAGGGTGGATGAGAAGATTTAAGGTGATGTATTAAGCACTTGGCACATGGTCGGCATCAGCAATCGGCAGTGATGAAAGAGGCTGCAATGCCTTTGATTTGCCACTCCCTGTTCAGAAAGAAGTCAACACTTTTACCCCAGTGAAAGAGGCAGGTTTAGTGGCTCCAGGTAGGGAATGATGACTATGGCTTTAAACCTGCCCTTTGACCTCTACATCTGTTTCTCAGGTAAGGCGCACAAATATCCCTTGCTTGGCTGGCAGAGCCAAGCTCACCTTGGGAGGTCCTTTTGGGGACTGTTCTTCCCATCCCACTAATGAACCCACTGACTCAGCCACTGAGAGGTCTGGCAGGAAGCACGGCTATAGCTGTGACCAGGCCAGGTTGCTCCATCTCCAGCAAACATTTAGAGTGGCTCAGTGCCTGCTGCTCCTGCCTTGACACAGAGGAAGCTGAGAGCCAGGCCAGTGAGTGGCAGCCAAGAGGATGCTGCCAGCATGGCAGTCAGGAGCTACAAAGGCCCCGAGCACTAGACGGTTTTGCCATCACTGTGGGGAGTGTCCCCAGCTGTCAGTGCCACCGGTGGGGATGCAGCTTCTCCCAGGAGCTAACCTGAGCATGTAGGACTATTGCCCGGGGCCCTCGCTCTCCCTGGCTGATGCGAGGTGGTTTCCAGGGGCGACAGCACTGTGGTGAACAAGGAGGAAGCCAGGATACAGTGAGGAAATGTGGAAGAGCATTTCCAAAGGCTGTTTCTGTTGGGGATTCTTGTTTGTCCAAGACTGTGATTTATCTCCAGGATACTTAGAATTTGTTAGCAGCAGGGTGCTAGTAGAGGTTTAACAACCGGGTCTGAGAACGGAGGCAGGGAGGGAGGGGGAAAAGGAGTGTCCTGATTTGTAGTTTTTGATGATTTCCATGGAGTAAAAATTTCCACCACAGAAGATGTCAAGGTACCAACATGGTACCACTGAAGTGAAGTTGAATAAGAGATGGGAAGTGTCGCATCATTATGAAGTATTTCCACTATAGATAGACAGTAGATACAAATAACCTCACAACTGTTGTTGATAATAGTAAAAGATAGTAAAATGATTAGGAAGTGAGGATTTTGAGTATTTATTGTCTGTGCCTTTAATATAATTTTTTTAATTTTAAGTTTACATACTTTAACATTTAACGATGGGCTAACTTGACAACAGCCTCTCAAAATTCCTCATCACTTTTTGAAGGCAGTGCAGAGTGTCTTGTTTTTACCTTCTCTGGAGAATAAACCTCCAATCTTTTGCTTCATTTGCAAGGGAAAATTCCCTGGCTGACTGGTGGGTGGTAAGAAAGCTGGTCGGGGGGGTGTCTTTTTTTTTTTAATTTATTGAGGTGGCATTCACATGACATAAAATTAACTCCTTTGAAGTAACCAACTCACTGACATTCAGTACATTCACAGTGTTATGCAAACACCAACTCTATCTAGTTTTAAAACATTTCTATCACTCCAATACAAAATCCCTGAGTTAGTTTGCTAGGAATGCTATTAAAAAGTGCCAGACACTGGGTGGATTACATAACAAAAAATCATTTTTTTCACAGTTCTGGAGGCTGGGAGTTCAAGATCAAAGTGTTAGTAGGCTTCATGTCTGCTGAGGGCCATGAGGGAGTGATCTGCCCCAGACCTCTCTCCATGGCCTGTCAATTGCTGTCTTCTCCCTGTGTTTTCATGTGGTCCTCCCTTTGTATGTGTCTGTGTCCAAATTTCCTCTTCTTATAAGGGTATCTGTCATATTGGAGTAGGGCCCACTATAATGACCACATTTCAACTTATCTACCTCTGTAAAGACCCTGTCTCCAAATAGAGTTACCTTCCTAAGTACTATGGGTTACAACTTTAACATATCATTTTTTCTTTTGCAGGAGGTATTACAATTCAGCTGATAACAACTCCCTAACCACTAAGCAGTCTTCCTCTATACCCCCTTACTCTCAGTCCCTGGCAGCCAATAGTCTGTGTTTTGTCTCTATGGATTTACCTATTCTGGATATTTCATAAAAAGAAATCATATAACACATGACCTTTGTGTCTGGCTTCTATCACTTCAAAATATTTCCATTTTCATGTGGTTCACAGGAGTATCATTAGTTTTGTGTGCTGTGGTTTAAAAAAAAGTGAGGAGCAGATAAAGGGCTACCAACAGCAATTGCTTCCAAGTTAAGGAATTCTCTTAAAGACCACAAAACTGACCAGCATTTGGTAGATAATTTTGCCTCCTACTTACAAGAATAGAGACAAGAAGACTGATCAAGAGACCACTGGAACAGCTGATGCAAGACAGTTCTAAGGCATAGACTTAGGGAAAGGGTGAAAGGGATCAAGAGGAAAAGGTTTCATCAAAGTGATTAGAAAATGCAAACCACTTTCAAATGCTTAAACATTACATATTTTAAAAGTATATGAAAGCTTAAAGAAAATAAAAGCCACCTACGATAGCACAACTCAGTTATACAAACTGTAAATATTTTGATATATCTACTATTTTTATCAAAAAATAACATGTACACAGGAAACTGCAAAAGTGATAAAATTTTGGAAACTTAAACACCCAATTATCCACCTCACAGGTCACAAAATGTATCCTAAAAGCCTTCCTCATGCCCTCTACTACCAAAGGTAATAATTACTTGTTTTAGCCCTTTCTTTTTTTTTTTCCTTTTTTGAGACAGGGTCTTGCTCTGTTGCCCAGGCAGGAGTGCAGTGGCACAATCTTGGCTCACTGCAATATCTGCCTTCCAGGTTCAAGTGATTCTCCTGCCTCAGCCTTCCAAGTAGCTGGAATTACAGGCGCCCACCACCATGCCTGGTAAATTTTGGTATTTTTAGTAGTGATGGGTTTCATCATGTTGGCCAGGCTGGTCTCGAACTCCTGACCTCAGGTGATCTGTTTGCCTCAGCCTCCCAAAATGCTGGGATTATAAGTGTAAGCCACCATGCCTGACTAGTTTTAGCCTATTTTTGAGCCAGAGAGAAAAAAAATAAAATTACACTTTTATTTTTGGCTTATTTTCCTCACATTTTGTGAAATGGATCCATGTAGTTGTGTGAAGTAGTTGCTCTTTCATTTTCCTACTATTCTATGATATGAATATGTGAAAAATAACTAAACTGATTTTATTATTGGTGAGTATTTGGGTTATGTCCAAATTTTAGATATTGTAACAATGTTGCTATCTTGTCTTTTGTGCTTATATGGATACCACATATTTGCACATATGTATCTGGTGGGGTATGTCCTCCCAAGATTTCTTCTTGTGTTAAATATGATCTGGGAATGGAACTGCTGGTCATCAAGTACACGTTCAGAGTTAGGAGATGCCCCATCAAAGAGTCATCCACAATGGTTATACTACTGTACACTCTTACAGACAGCATGTGAGGGTTCCTGTTCCTCCATGTCTTCATCAACACTTGATAACGTCAGTTAATTTAACTTCACCATACTGGTGGGTGTTGTTTGGTGGTATGCAATTGTGCTTTAGTTTGCATTTTCCTTATAATTTATGATGATAAGTTTTTTACATGTTTACTCAACATTTTAATAGTTTCTTTTGGGAAGAACCCATGCATTGGGTTCTCTATTCTATTTCTGGGCTTTCTATTCTGTTCCATTGGTCTATATGTCTGTTTCTATGCCAGTACCATGCTGTTTTGTTTAATGTAGGTTTGTAAGTTTGTAATATACTTTAAAATAAAGAAGCGTGATGTCTCCAACTTTGTTCTTTCTGATGATTACTTTGGGTATTTGGGCTATTTTGTGGTTACATACGAATTTTGGGAAAGTTATTTTTTCTTTCTATAAAGATTGACATTGGGATTTTGATAGGGATGGCACTGAATCAGTAAATCACTTAGGGTAGTATGGACATTTTAAGAATATTACTTTTTTCCAATCTATGGCCATGGGAAATCTTTCCATTTATATATGTCTTTAATTTTCTTCCTCAATGCTTTATAATCTTCAGTGTCTTTAATTTCCTTTATCAGTGCTTTATAATTTTCTTTTTCCTCTCCTTGGTTAAGTTTATTTCTAAGTATTTCATTCTTTTTGTTGCTGTTGTGAATGAAATTGTTTTCTTCTTTTTTGGATAGTTTATTGTTTGTATAGAAATGCAACTGACTTTGTGTGTTGAAATAGTATCTTGCAAATCTACTGAATTCATTTATTTGTTTTAACAATTATTGAGTCTTTAAGGTTTCTACATATATGATCATGTCATTTGCAAAGAGACAATTTTACTTCTTATTCAAAAGATGCCTTTTATTATTTTTTCTTTTCTAATTACTCTGGCTAAGACTTCTAGCACTATGTTAAGTAGAGGTCTTGAGAGTGAGCAAATTTGCCTTGTGCCATATATTAGAGGGAAAGCTGTCAGTTTTTCCACAGTTTATTATAATATTAGCCATGGGCATTTTATATATGGCTATCATTGCATTGAGGAAAGTTCTTTTTGTACTTATTTTGTTGAAGCTTTAATTATGAATGGATGCTGAACTTTGTCAAATACTCTTCCTGTACCTATTGAAATAATCTTGTAATTTTTTTCCTTTCGTTTTGTCAGTGTGGTATAATATGCTGATTTACATATATTGAACTGTCCTTGCATCCCAGGGATGAATTCCACTGGTCATGGTGTATAATCCTTTTAGTGTGCAGTTTAATTCACTTTGCTAGTATTTTATTGAGAATTTTTACATATGTTTTCATCAGGGATATTGGCCTGTAGTTTTCTTTTCTTATTGTGTTCTTGTCTGACTCTGGTATCAATCAGGTGATGCTAGCCTCATAAAATTCATTTGGAAGTGTTTCCTCTTATTGTTTGGAAGAGTTCTTAGCTAGTTTTTATTGATGGCTTCTTTTTGTTACTGTTTAGTAAAAGTTTGTTACTCTGAATGACTCCCTCATCATATCTTCATTTTGTAAATACTTATCTTTACCAATTCTGTAGTATGTCTTTTAATTAATAGGTGTTATAATTTTTTTCTATAGTCCAATTTGTCAATCTTCTCTTTTATGGTAATGCTATTTGTGTCTATTTTAAAAATCATTACCTATTCCAA